TCTGCTCCAGGGAGGTGCCATCTCCAACCGGCGTCACCGGGCTCTGGGTCGGCTTCCAGGTGTAAAGTGCTCATTCAGAAGAACAAGCTCAAGTTTTTAATACCTGGAAGAAATTGCCAGGCTGGAGGGTGGAATCATGCAAGGCTGATGCCTTTTCACTTCCTTACAGCAAACCTTCATCTATCTAGGACAAGTGCCTTGTAGGGGCTGTGTGAAATCATATAGATAATACATTAAACATATTTTTTCCTGCACAGCAGCAATATATTATGGTTTGTTTGAATGTGGGGACTAGAGACAAGTTTGACAGCGGTAAAGCATTAGGGTTTAGCAGAGTTTTCACTGGAAAAATGAATCCTCTGTTTATAAATCTTTGAAACATAAATGAGCTAATGCATTTTAAGTGGTTTCGATTATTTAGGAAGGCTTGTTCATCCAAGTTTTCTACAGAATTAATTTTTGGGGAGCTTCCTACAATCTCAGCCACAGAGATGTCTAGGTAAGCCTTGCAACGACGGACTGTGTAAAATCCGTAGAGACAGGAAAAGCGACGGATTCGGCAAATATCGCTGCATGTTCTTCTCTCAAGAAATGTGTGCCAGGCAGAGCATCTCCTGCTTCATTCACGTTTTATTTACTGTTTTCTGAAATACATATTAGTTCACGAGAAATTCAACCGGATTTTTAAAAGCGATAGCCCTACAGGGTCTCTAGGAAAGTGGTAAGAAATAAAAACCATCTTTTGACACTTTCCAAATAGTATTCATTCAAAAGCATGGTGTTTAGTGAATCGGGGACCAAATTCTGATCAGTGGCAAAATCCTACGGTTAGGAGTAGGAGCGAGAAAATAAGAGGGAGGGGAATGGCAAGAGGAGGAAGAGAAAAGGAATTCTTCCATGCAGCCCTCCCCTATAGCTCCCTTTTTTTCCTGAATTCATAGGGAAGCCATCCCTCGCGTTATTCCCAAGTGAATCTGAGAGCATGGTCTGCATATTTATGCTCAGTCCAGCCCTCCTCGCACAGAATATCTACGTGGCTGCCTGTACTACTTTGCATACGAGACTTTTACTGGGAGGGCCACGTAGTAGCACTGCTTGTACCCTGCACGTTTGTGTCCACCAGTGTGTGGATGCGGGAGTCGTTACGGAATGGCAGGTAAGTATTTCAGAATATATTGAAATTCTGAGCAGCGACACCAAATTCAAGGAGATGGGGTGAAAATAAAACTCCCCAAAGGAGTCTTCTTCATAACTTCTCCATTTATCTGTGAAGTATCAGAAGATCCTAGATTTATTTTCCGCAGTCGGTAGCATGGGCTGAAGGCAACATTTATCACTGCTGTCAACCTTATATATGGGCCCCACCAGCCCTCCCAGAGTGGGAACGAACCTGACTGATTGCAGGTATTCACTGCCAGTGAACTCATGCAGCAATTTATATTCAGCAACCCAGTTAAAATATGGGTGACTACAGCAGTGCATATGTTTGGTGATTTAAAGCACATGCAAACTGAAGCAAAGCTGTCTCCTCCTGACAAGTTACTAGCATAACTCTTGGCATGACCAATATTTAAGTTGCATAATAGGAGATTAAAACTGGAAAGGACCAGTGAGTCACTCTAATCGCAGCCCCCTTCTATTGCAAAATCTTTGTCTCCATTGCTATCTTGCTACTTTTTTTTCCTGAACACATCAAGATTCTTTATTCTCTCCCTTCTAAATCCTGGATTTCTTGTTAACGTGAATTTTTTCGAGGTCTAACTTTCTGCACCTATTTCTTTTATTTCCCTACCATTGCCTGCAGCAGCCAACACTCCTCCCACCAACTCCTACCGACCCTTAACAGCTGCATGAACCAAAGATGTCTTAGTATTTATGTATGGTTTCAGTCCCTTCATTATAATTGGACATTGTTGGATATTTAAGAGCTACCAAGCCTAAAAACAGAGAAATCCATGAGTGATTCTTCCTGGACTCCACTAAGATGCTTCATAATAATCTTTTTGTCATATAAGAAATCCCACTGTGCTATGCACATGGCCCTGTCTGCAAATGCCATTAGACTACAGCTAACAACTTGTTTATCATCTGCCCTAACTCTGGGATTTTTCTGCTCCAACGCTACGATCTCTCTATTCAGCCCCTCTCTCAGCATGTAGGCCATTTCAAACAAAAGTGCAGGACTTAGCCTCATTTTGTAGATGAAGATGTTGAGGGAGACGGGCGTATGGCAGACACAGAACAGGAGTTACGCACCGAGATGTGAAAGAAAGCAACCTTCAAACTTTAAGGCAAAAAACCTTACTAGATCCTTCCCTTCTTTTCAAGCCTTTACAGAAAAAAAAAAAAATTAGTTTGTTCTGAGAGTGAATATTCCACTCAACAGTATTAGATGTTACTGCTAATAAATGCCAAGTGCTTTTCATGACTAACGATGTGATTGCGCTGTACTTGATATGGCTTTGTGCCTGTTCACTTTTCTTTAATTCAGGAAAACTCTGGAGAAGAATCAGCAGCAGTGCTGTTGACTGGTAAACAAAAGCAAGTTACACCTTTAGGGCTCAGGAAAAGAAGGTAAACAAAAGCCAGCTATCTCGATAAAAAGGGAACACATGTTTTGGAGGGAGAACATTCCAATAAACAGGCATCATAACCTGACTCACAGACTGCAAAATTAAGGAGCAGCTATAAATTTAGCTTAGTGTGTAGTCTGAAATAGCAACTGCGTTTGTGCAACGTATGTTTGACTGCAATTGAAAGTGATTTGCTTACCACTACTTCATTAGCATGCAGAATGACTGTGGCATTACAAATAGAATCTGATGCTTAAAGATGTTTATTCTGCTTAGCAATTTAGAGGTATCTCAAGTTTTTCTATTCCTCCCAAAGCCTATCTTCACTCACGTCTTTAAACTTGTTGGAAATTTTGCATCTCTCTCCACATACAAGAGAGATATTTTGCATCTTCTGTTCTGAAAGTTTCAAGCCCAGTCAGTGCTTCCTAACAACGTGGTCCCCTGTATATCATGCTGGTCCCCTGTATATCATGCACCAAGTCAAGCAGAGGCAGGATTTGTAACAGGCTGCCAGGAGCTGCAGAATGTGCATTTTTGCCATCAGCATGCAGATTTATGGTGTTCATACAGTTACAGCTTGGGACAGTACAAATACATTTATCTCACTGTTTTTTACAACAGTAACAAAATGCTTCTTTATGCTTGTTCACAGGTCAGATTAACGTAGTGACAGACGAGTTACTCTGGGAAACAAGAACATGAGCAATACGGAGCTTTGCAGCCCTGTGCTGAGAACTTTTGGAAGCACTAAAATTCTAAACGCAAATCTTGGTTATTCCATTTTCCCTTTTACCTCATTAAAGATAATGGGAAATGTTCCAGAGGGACTTTCATGCACAGGTAGCAATCAGGCAATGGACCAGGCTGCCCAGGGCAGTGGTTGAGTCCCCATCCCTGGAGGGGTTCAAAAAACGTGGCACTTCGGGATATGGTTTAGCAGGCATGGCGGTGTTGGGTTGGCGGTTGGACTTGTTGATCATAGAGGTCTTTTCCAACCTATGATTCTGTGATTCAATCTGGTTAGGGGAAGACAGCTAAAATACTTTTAAAAATAATTAGCTGAGAATGAACCACCTGGAATGTGGCACAAATGATGTTTAGAGCTAACACGCAGCTCATGGATTATGATCTTCATTATAGCACTGACTGCATGTGTAGGAAAAAGCTTGACCATTGTCATCACCTCTGGTTTCCCACTGCCTTACCTCCGATAATCTGACACTGAAGCCAAGCAAGCGGGTAAAATGCTAGCTTAGGGAACTGACCGTTTCACAATGATGTAAAATAAAATGACTCCATGTACCAGGATAGGAAAAGCGAGCCTCTGTTTTTGTAATGAAGAATACTAGATGTAACCTGATGCGAATGTTGTCTTTTCAGATGGAATCCATCCTACCCAGAGAGCATCCTATGCACTCCAGGCACTGCTGAAGGGAGGCATGCCCAAAAGGCCATGTCCAGTCAAAAGTGGCTCAAACATTTAGAAGGTATTTGGGGACCTCTGCCCTCTTCATGTCTTCACCTCAGAAAGTGTTTACAGCAGCATCCCTCAGACAAATATAACATTGTAAGAGAAGGAAAAGGACTGCTTGTCTTGGATGCCTTTGGAATGTAAAAGTAAAGGTTTAAGAGCATCCAAAGCAAAGTTCCCCCACTGGCCACAATCTTCTCAGCTTGTGAGAACACCACTCTGTGTGCTGTGGATTCCTTGGTTTTGCCCATTTCAGTCACATCATTCAAACACAGCTTCCCCGAAAGCAGAACAGAGCGGGGGCTTCCTCACAGGGTTCAGGAAAAAAAGTCAGCTTCAGATGGTGACAGAAATCCTCCATTGAACACAAACAGGCAGGATCCCTTACTCATTGGCAGTTTGCACCATCCTTTACAGCTACATTGAGTGTGTGCACATGGAGAGGCTTCTTCTCTGTGGATCCAGCCAAGCTTCTTGGATGCTCTGCACAGGTAAGATGGCAAGACATGGAAAACGTGCCCCCAGGGCTGTCAGCCACACTGCAGCTCCATCGCATCTTTCTCTGCATCTGTTCTCCCGATGCCTTCCAAACCTTGATTACTGAACCCTCGCATCCCCTTGCAATATAGGTTAAGGATCACTCCCACTTTCCAACTGGAAAACGGAGGAAGGACAGAAGTTAAGTGATTTTCCCCACAGTTGTACAGCAGGTCAGAGGGGGAGGCAGAGACAGAACCAATCCTTAATTCAGGCGCTTGACAATATTCCTTCCGTCTAGAATATGGACATATTCTGAAAGGTCGTATTGGTAAATACAGTAAAGGAAAATCATCTCCCTGTTAGTGACTCTTCATCCAGATAAGCATGATTCTGAATTAGGCTGTAAGTGTGTTTTAAAGGGAAACACTTAACCTGTGTTATCTCCATGCTGGCACCACAATAAACAGCCATTCCTACTTGTACCGAATTAGGCGAATAATCTTATTATTCATGAAATCTGAAGTATGTGGATGAGAAGAATCTATGCAGAACCCATCACTCATGGCTATTTTTAGCACTTCTTCCACAAACACCTGGAAACTATTGATTTGCTTGTTATCTGGCACCACCCAGAGTCTCTTTAAGTTCTGCCTGGTGTACTCCTCTTCGGGAAGGCCTTCCACACTTGCAACCCAATCCAAGGTCAAATGGTTGGGGTCCTGCAGGTAGCTGGATATTGAAGAGAGGTTTCCGTTGAAGCAATAGTAAAGTTTGGAACCGAGAAGCTTCAGGAACAGACATGACGTGGAGAAGATATTAGCACTGAACACTTCCATGTTGGAGGAAGACAGGCTGTAGATCTGGGGTGCTTCTCGGACGGTGAAGTGAACAGTCTGGGTCTTCTGATCAAGGGTGATGTTGAGCATGGCATTCTTCTCTGCTTTAGAAAGCTCCACCTCCTTCTCCTGCAAGGCCTCAATCAGTGGCTGAATTTGATAAAAATCTACCTCTCGTCGAAGTAAGCCCATTTCCTGAAAGTCTTCAGGGAGGTCCAAGTGAGAAGTTCGTAAGAAGTTCAGGATATAGCGGAAGATTTTGCCATCTCTGTCGATAAAGCAGTTGCCCTGGCTGTCCTTCTTGGTTGGGATCTTCCCACTAAACATGGCCCCCAGCATGGAGTCTGGAAAGCTAGTCAGGGTGGACAGAGAGGTGGTATAGAGTTTTCCTCCAACATTGAGTGTGATGGGATCTGACATGATGGAAAAGTCACGACGCTGGGACTAATTCTAAAAAAAAAAAAAAAATCCAACACCACACATTTAGCTGCATTTACCTGTTTGAAAGGTTAAACTACAGAGGTAAAGAGTCCTAAATGTATACCGCTAACTACACAGTAATAATTCATCACAGAATTTAGAAGTCGTGAATTACTTTTGGAGGGTGTACTTTGAGAACAATCACAAGGATGTTTTTCTCCTAACAGACTTGAACAGGACTTTGTCCAGTTTAGTGCCACAAATCATGAGTCTTCCAAAATCATGCTAAAATTCTGAGTCTAACGGTCATGCTAAAACTGAAATCTCTCCCGTGGATGCCTACAGCAGAACCGCTGACTTCCAAGCAAGAGTTGGGTTCTGGGCTCACCTGATCCCATCTCCCTCGCAAACACAGAATTTAGAGGGGGAAAAAAAGGACAGGACGAGAACCGGACACACCCGAACATCTTCCATGGCATCTGGAGATATAATTAAAGCAATGAAGCTGTTGCAGCAGAATCCCCTGACACGCTTTTGAGTGCAGTCAGCCTAGCAGGGAGCCAGCAAGCAGCACTGCCATAAGGACGCGACAGTCTGCGGTTCCATTCAGTAAAAAAACCACCAGGCCTTCTCCTTCCAAAGTGCTTTACCTTACAAAACATTTCCTAATTAAGTGGGGCCATATCCTGGTTGACATAGTTTCCACGCAACTCCTCTGCAATCAGCTGAGACGAACGGAAGATGCGATTTTCCGGTGCAGTGAAGCATCGCTGCCTCTGGAAGGGACGTACCCCCTTTTGCCCTCCACCAGACCCTCCCTTACACTAACTCTGGCACTTATCTGACCCCACAGTGAGCCACTTTAGGGAGAAAACTCACCATTTTCTATTCAGGATATGTTTCTGCTACATCTTGGAACTAGAGGAATGTCAGGGCTGGTGCAAGGGAAGAGGAAGGAGCTGTGTAGCCCTGTCCATTGCAGATCAGCTCAGCTGCCTTGAAAAGCTGGGCCCTTGCTCCTGTTAGCTGAGGTCCTGCAAATCTGTTTTTCCTTGTTTGCTGAATCCAAATCAATCAATGGTTCATTCCCAATTTTATTGTTGACTTAATCAGCAGGA